ACATTAAGATGGAAAATTCAAAATTGACTGTAAATATAATGCAACAGGATAGGAAACATATTACAGATACAATGTAACAATTCATACCTTACGGCATTTTGAATGAAGTCATATATTCAAATAAATTAAATATAGTACGTAAATAAAGACACTTTAAGAATTAAAACCGTATACAAGTGAAACAACTACTTAACTATACCGACTTTACATTAGAATACAAATTAAATTTTAAACATTTATATGACTTTTATATAACAAATTTTAACATTTATCAGATTTTTGTATATTTATATTATATTAAAAACTATTATCAAACAACATCACAAATAAAATCATTATAAGCCAATTCATGGCTAACCATATTACCAGTAAATTACGGATACTAACCTATTTAATATCTTAATCAAGAATACACCACTAAGGATAATATTAAAATGTTTATATAAAGGTAATTTAACATAAGATGAGTGATTATTGAGTTATAAAGTTTAGCAAGATTGTAAGGTTAATTCTTTAATATGCTTACAATTCACCATAGTTTCATATCTCTGATTTAATAATTGATTGCCATTCAAAAGTTTAATTATCTCAGTTTTCTCCTGTAGACAAAGGAAACCTGCTTCAATCAACAATCTCCAGATTCTGGCTTCATTATTCTGAGATTGAACTTATGATCGTTCACGTGAAACGTAATCTTTTTTGTCATTGTTGTAAAACCAATATGCGTATTAACATTTTTATCAGAGATGCTGCATTTTTCTAACACTGAAGTCTTTGTTAAAATCATTTGGAAAAATGATTAACTGACATTTTATTATTAGTTATTAACTTTTTTTTTTCAGAACTCTTAACTTTTTACATTTCACTGTTTCAAAAAATGATTATTAGAGTTTGAATAAAACCAGAAATTCTGAAAGTGAATTTATACATTTTCTTTGTTCTTTAAGAATTTGACAAAAATGACATTATTTATTGATTTGATTATTTACAAGAATAATTTTATATTTACAATATTCTACAACTATTAACAAAATAATACAATGTGATGTTTATCATTCACCAATTTATGAAGAAACAAAAGTGAAAATAATTTTTTTATTCACAAATTTATAAAAATTTACTAAATCATAAAAATACGGGAAACATCTCTAATGAAATCTTTATCATTTACCATTTTATAAAATTTGAATCAATTGGCAATTCGCTAATGTTTTGCCAACTATTCCAATGAACACAATTTGTTGAAAATTTTGTGGGTTTTTATAAAAAGATTTCTTTTCAAATTTCTTTCTTTATAAAATGGTAAATAATAAATCTTTATAAAATGGTAAATAATAAATATGGCATTGTACTTGGTTCACATATTCTTATAAATCTTGTAAATAAACATTACCAAGGGTATCAAGGTAGTTTAAAATAATAAGTTTCAACAGAAAAACTCTTTTTGACACAATGCTTTTTTTGTGAGCACAAAGGTTAAACATTGCTGAATTGTCATTGAATTATTTGAGCTGTAGATTCAGTCTCAATATTTCTTCAGAACCTGTTCAAAACTTTGCCCCTAAAGGTTCAGTTTCTATTTTGAGTAACTGGTGAAGACCTTTTGCTGTAGCTTCAGTCTCTATATTCTTCCAGTTCTTCCTATCGACTTCCCAGAGGCCTGAAAATTCAGCTTCTTTATTCTACTTGGTGTTTGTCATTTTATGTTGTTGGTTTTTTTTTTGTTTTTTTTTGTCCTTGTCATAGTAAAATGAAATTGGACAACAATGTTCATATAAGACACACTCATAGTGTCAAGTGAAAAGTAAAATACATTTAAAATTGCCAGTAATGTGGCAGTGTTCATTTTACACAGTACCCAAGGATAAAAGCTGTCCCTCAAGCACTAATAGATTTAAAATGTCGCCCCGAGGATAACCAAACAAACAAGTGCTACCCAGAATGTGTCCTGTCTTTCATTTATGCCTACTGTGTTGAGAATTACAAATGTCCCCCAAGGAAAGCAGCGAGCAGCCAGTTATTTTCTGGGCCACATTTATAACCGTCTGAAGGGTGCTCCTGTCCATTGCTGAGCAGTTGATATACTAGAAGGTTTCTTAGCCTGACTAAGAATTAAAAAAAATCTGTTTGAACATTTGAACAATTTTGTTGGTTGGTCTAAGAAATTTTCAGCATTTTCTCATGTCCAATTTGTAGAGTGAAATGCAGATCAAAAGCCTTTGAGTTCAATCCTTACACTGGAATGCAGATGTGGGAAGAATGTTTAATAAAAGAAAATATTCTGTTGGTTACTGAATGTGTCATAAACTTGATGAGTGTTAGAGAATGTACCGACTGAACTATTGCCATGGAACCTATGAAGATGATGTTATTTTTAAAAATTTCTGATGATTTATTCATTTGTGTAATCTTTGCTGTCTTTATTAACACCCACACGTACATATATGTATGCATTTATTTTTATAGAATTTTGGTGTCCTGCCATATTTCGCAAATTATCGTCTTGTGGCTGAATTTTCTACGCCCTTAGTTAATCAAAGGTAAGTGGAAACAAACGATTTTCATCAGTATGTGAGCGATCATGGCTCTCCACAACTTTCTATCTTCTGTAGCTCTTAGCATTGTCTTTATACTATCCCTCTCCCAGGCTTACGGACATCATTTCCCATACAATCACTAAAGTTAAGCAATGTTGAGCCTTGTCAGTACCTAGACAGGTGATTGCCTCGGAATACCAGGTGCTGTAAGCTTGGATGTATGGGTGGTGTAAATGTATAACAGTTTGGAAGTTGGAGAGCAGTGTTTCAATTACATTTGAATCCATTATATTCACTTATGCACAAATACCCTTGGAGAAAATTATGAATCCCCCTCCTCTTCTACCCCCAGCTATGGGTTAATTAGTAGTCTCCAAAAAATTCTTACAGCCAAAGAATATTTTCTGGCTTTAAATAACCTGCAAGTGATTGATGAGCCATAAAACAAATCAATAACCAACTTGTAAAATAAGCAGGTTGGTTTAAATAAATGTTCTGCCATGAATTTTTATTTGAGCTTAATAAACTGGAACAAAATAATCATGATGAGGAGAGAAAACAAAGTTTACTGTACCAAATTGATATGTGGTTGGGGTGCTGGTCAGAGAATTGAAGGAAATATTTTAATAATGGTGCCGGCACTTATTTTGTAAAATAACAAATGTTGTACTTCTATTTGCTTACCATGTTTATACCATTTAAATTGAAATATTGTGATAGTTTTTTTTTTCTTTTTAATATGATTATCACAGCAGCCCCCTTTATCCTTGTTATGCTGGGTGGGGGGTTATGGGTCCAGGGTCTCTATTTTTTTTTTATGTATATACACTCACTGTGAAATAAGTTCAAACAGTGACTAATGCAACAAAAATAGTTGCAGTACATACAATAATGCTGGGGGTCAAACAGTGTTTTGGGATGGATACATCATTACTTATTCACAACACACCAGCAATACCTCACCATATCACCAGGCATTGTGTTTTCTGTACACTGTCAGGAGACCAAATCCATGTAAATAAAACTTCCACTTGGTCATGGAGTCTCTTAAAATGCTTTCTCTTTTCTGATAGAAACATTCCAAGTTCAAACAGGTATTGCAATGAAATGGGAAGTGTAATATTAGCCATTTCCCTATAACGAAATGTCCGGCATTCATTGCTTGATCTGCTAGTACTGCTGTTAGATGAAATTTATAAAATCCTTCTCTATAAAATAATTTTTCCAGAAAATAGATTTGTCAAGTCCAGTAGCTGTTATTGCTCTTTCCAGTATTGATGGTTTCCTTCCTAACCTTTTATTTGAAGTCGTGTGGAATATCGTCATCTTGATTATGTCATTATTTTCTCTTTGAGTCGTATATGATATCCATTTTAGTTGTTGCTGTTGAAAATCCTCAAGTGATGAAATCAAATTGATGATAAAACCTCAACATATACATGTAAACTTATCTCTACTTATACTTTCCTTACATGTGAATGTATATTTATACTTACATAAAAATGCTTATATCATCAAATTCAGATAGGCCACAAACAGCATATCTGAAATATAGGTCCTTGCTAGATTAGATAATCATTATATTTATCTTTATATATTTATATTTGATTTGTAACCTTTAGTCGATATTAAATTTGTCAAATCTTCTCAATTACAAAGCAGCCCTTTAAGTAAACACAATTTTACTTTCCTTCGTCCCATCTCTCTCCCCCACCTCGTCTTTCCCTCCCTCTTATTCTAACATTAGATTGTCTATGGTGTGTGTGTATGTCACCACAAAATGTATCTTTATGCATTAGACATCCGACAACATTCATTTTTCTCTTACTTAAACCCCTTCCACCCATCTCTCCTAAAATTTTCTCTGTTAAGGTTTAATCTCCCTCCTCCTCATACTTACACTCTCTCTAAATTCTGTCTTTATTCCCGGAGTTGTTTTTTCTGTATTCTTTTTGAATTTGTAGGTCTGATGAATTGGATCGTATTTACGATTCCAATGGAATAAATTATGAGCATGGAATATTAGTGTTTAAGCCTTTTTTTATTATATATATATATATATATATATATATATATATATATATATATACAGTAACGTCCAAAACTAAGGGACAGAATTTTAAAACCTAATATTTGTTAGAAATAACAACTGTGAAAAGCTGAAATTTTGACAACTGGTAGTCGTTATCATCCATAATAACATACTAAAATTTGAATCATTTTACCAAAAGGATAGAAAAAGAATTATAACAATTATTTATTTATTTTCAAAATAGGATCGTCCAAAAGTAAGGGACAAAATTGAGAAAAAACAACGTAAACAGTATGCTATATTCAAATTTTTTGATTTCCTCTAAAGAATAAGTCTTACTTAGTCATTTGTAAACGTTGCATCAGCGGCACCATGGCAAAACGCCAAAAACTTGATTACTCTGTGAGACAAGCTATTGTGAAGCTACACAAGGAAAAGCACACCATTAGAGAGATTTCAGAGAAAGTGAAACGTTCCAAGAGTGTTGTAGGCAGGGTTGTTAAATCCTACAATGATAATGGCAAAATAGTGCTTTTAAAACCGGCAGACCCATAAAACTTCGACAAGAGAAGATCGAATAATGCAGCCTATGTCATTAAAGGACCGTTTTAAGTCTTGCACAGAAATTAAAAGGGTTATGAATAGTACCTCATGTGTTAATGTGTCAAGACAGACTGTTTGTAGATGACTGCAAGAAATAGGGCTGTTTAATCGAACCCCAGGGAAGAAACCACTTGTTAGTTCAAGAAGAGATTAGAGTTTGCAAACAGGTATGTAATTTGGACATATGAAAATTGGGCAAAAGTATTTTTCAGTGATGAAAGCAAGTTTAATTTATTTGGAAATGATGGAAAAAACAATGTAAAGAGACGTATTGGTGAAAGATTAAGTGCAAAGTGTACTAAGAAAACTGTCAAGTTTGGGGGAAGCGTCATGGTATTTGGAATGTTTTCTAGCCAAGGTACAATGCCTCTTGTCCGTTACAAACTCGTGTAAATCATGAGATCTATAAAAAAAATTGTTCAAGATCATGTTGTGCCAATCATACAGAATTCAGGTTTCGATAGGGCTACCTTTATGCAAGATAATGCCCCATGTCACAAGGCAAAGGTGGTAATGAGTTACCTTAGCAGCAAGATTTGGAAATTATGGATTGGCCACCGCAAAGTCTTGACTTAAATCCAATAGAAAATCTTTGGAAGACTTTAGGAGTGAAAGTTATGGAAAGAAATCCCACTAACACAGAGGATTTGTGGGTGAAGCTTCAAGAAGAATGGTCTAAAATTAGTATCGAGGATTGTCAAGAACTGATTCGTTCTTGTAGTCGAAGATGTGCAGCTGTCATTGAGAGCAAGGGCTCATTTACTAAATATTGATTGTACATGTATTTTTATTGTTTTTTTTTGTCGTTTACATTGTTTTTCTCAATTTTGTCCCTTACTTTTGGACGTTCCAAATTTGAAAATAAATAAATAATTGTTATAATTCTTTTCTATCCTTTGCAAATGATTCAAATTTTAGTATGTTATTATGGATGATAACGACTACCAGTTGTCAAAATTTCAGCTTTTCACAGTTGTTATTTCTAACAAATATTAGGTTTTCAAATTTTGTCCCTTAGTTTTGGACGCTACTGTGTATACATATATATATATATATATATATATATATATATATATATATATATATATATATATATATATATATATATATATATATATGGATATACATACAACTAAATATGTTCGCTCTATATTGATATTGAGTGCTTTCCAATAAGTAACGTGCATATAAAATATATATATATGGAAATTTTGTATAATATATATAAATGTGTGTGGGGAAAACGATATATAAATTTTTATATATCAGAACAGCTTCAGGAATCTCTGACAAAGTAGAAAATTTATCATGTGACATGGTTTGTCCTTTGTATTAAAGTGATATTTATGTTCAGGTGATAACAATGATGAAGGAGACGGAGGACACTTTTATTCCTTCAATATGTATTTTGCATATGTGGTCGAGGTGATTACACTTAGTTTCTTTTACTTTTTGTCACATTTCTTATTAAATATTACCCGTGTGAGATATTTAATAAGAAAAGTGATAAAAACATAAGGAGAAAAAAGACTAAATCTACTAGACTATGTACCTAAAAACATGTTTAAAAAAAAGAAAAGAAAAAATAAAATTTCAGTGTCCCCTCTCCTTTGTATGCATGTGTAATCAGATCAAAATGTAAACATCCCTTTGAAGTATAGGAATAAAAGTGAAAAACAAATGACAAAAAGGAAAAATAACCATGACATTCTATCTGCACATATACATGCAGATGGGTGCATGTGTGTGGACGGACACACATATGCACATGCTGATTCACTGGAAAAAAAAATCAACCTTGCACCAATGAAAAGTGCAAATGAGAAATATAAACAGTCAATTGCATAATATATATATATATATATATGAAACGGATTAAGTCCAACAATTAATTAATATATTTTCCTTTTATACATTATATTTATAGATACAATCTATTTAAGTAAATGGTCTGTTTTTAATTGAACAGTATTAATTACATTTACCGGCCTGAATGTTTGAGAAATTTTGTAGAAAATATGTGTTCTCTAACAGGAATCAAACCCGATTCAGGCAAGTAAATGTAATTAATGCAGTTTAATTAAAAACAGAGCATTTACTTAAATAAATTAGATCTATAAGAATAGCATATAAACAGAAAATATTTTGTCGGATTTAATCCATTTCATTTTCATATATATATATATATATATATATATATATATATATATATATATATATATATATATATATATATATATGACTGAACGAATAAATATAGGTGGGTATACAAGTGAGCGATCATATATAAATACTCTATAGTGTAAGAAAAGACTGCTCAATGTTAAG